GCTTTCTCACCAAGAAATCTGCATAACCTAGGCGTACATAAAAACCCAAGTTGAAAGAAAAAAAAATCATGCTTTATTACACCAAACATGAAGTAATTAGGTTAACTGCATGAATGTTTGTTGCTTCAAACCTACCATGGGTGCTCAATACCTTAAATCATCGTGAATTTTGCATAAACGAAAATAAACAGTTTCCGTTTAGCGGTCGTTCTTTGAAAATAATCTACCTGTTCAACAAGCAATTTCCCCGACAAAAAATTTATCTGTCCGTACGTGAAAACCATGCATACCTGCAGGCTGAATTTGAAACCTTTAAGTTGTATTTTGACGGGGAATATTCTCCTAGGATTTCAGCTTTCCAGCTTTTCTGATTCCCGAATTAGTAGTTTTCCCTACAAAACTTTCACGGGGCCATACTTGATCTGGGGACATACTGGGGGCAGAGTTCGGTAACTTTTAAGTTGTACATGGGCTGGAAACAGCCCTCCAAAATTTCACTCCTCCCAGCTTCCCTCGTTTTTGAGTTGGCCATTTTCCCGCCAAAAACTTTCACAGTGCCGTACGTGTGAACAACGCTTGCCTAGGAAAAGGGGGGGGGGGGTAGGGCTGAATGTGATAAATTTAAGTTGCACATAAGCTGGTAAAATCCCTTTATGATATCAGCTTCCTAGTTTTCATGGTTCCCAAGTTAGCGATTTTCCCGCCAGGAAGCCCCACAGGGGCGTACGCGGAAACCATCCACACTTGGGGGCTGAATTTGAAATCCTTCACTTCTATGTGGATGGGGAGCATAGCCTCAAAATTTCAGCTCTCTAGCTTTTTTCGTCTCTGAGTTCGTAATTTTCCCGCCGAAATTTTTACCCGCCCACACACGGGCTTAGACGTGCTCGAAGATTGGTATCGCTGTCCCGGGGTCGCATTTGGCCGGGGAACCAACCGGCATAATTTTGTCGCCGGAGCTTGCTTGATTGCCGAGTTGAAATACCTGGACAGACGAACACATACGCGCACACAAGCATACACAAATACACATACACACACAAACATATATACACACACAAGTAGGCAGGGTCGTTGCAATATGCGTTTTTAA